AAAGGCCACTAGTCTGGCCCTTAAAAAACAGGACTAGTGCCCCCTGGAGAGATTCAGACTAGGAATGAAAGCCAAGTTCTGTTAACTGTGTGTTACAGGATCTATTTCAAATAAGCGCATTACATGTTCTTCTGCCAAGTAAATGTTCATATGGCTAACTTTCTACCTTTTTATTACTTTGTGGGGAGAGTGGTATCATTTTGCCATGCTGGCCACAGCCATTCATTACCAGCACTGCTATTCCATTGAGCTCTTATGGATTTGGGATATACTGGAACTGGATGAATCCGATTTCTGTCTATTTCTCCTTTCAGCCCAACTGACATGTTTCGAGTACACAGAGGTGCACAGGGTGAAGCAGGAGGAGATGTCTGATGATCCACAAAACTCCTTTACCACATTGATTACCCATCACTTGGGCTATTTCCAAATATGGATCTACCTGACTTCTGGAAAAGTGCTAAACTCATACCCCAAAATAGCTCAGCTAACAGGGCATGGATGGGAGTGCAGGATGAAGTGGGAGGGAGATTTCCTGCAGCAGGTGAGTTCCATCCCACCTTTTCATGTACCCCTTCTTTGCTCCACTCCCTGTCAGCTGGGCTATTTTTCAAAGTATCTTTCTGTAAGAGGCTAGGGTGAGGCTTGGAGAGTCATGGAAATAATGTTAGACAACTAAGAGATGAAACAGTTGGCAGTTTATGTCATAAATGGCAACTTAGCCCAGGTGGCAAGAAACCTGAAAGTAATGGCTCAAAACATTCCAAGAGTCTCCACCTTAATGAATTCACTAATAAATAAGAATGATTTGACAAGATTCTGTATTTCCCTAGTTCTAGCATTAAAGAGACTTTGCTATGTCTGCGCAATTCTTGCTTCCTTGATCTCACCCAGCTGCGCGGGACTTGACACTGTCCCAGGTAGCAGCCCACAGTCACCCAAGTCCGCTCCAGGACACATTAAGGTTAGCTATTGGGGTGAGGTGGGGTGGGGTATTTGTTTTGCTTTTCCTGTCAGCAAGGTGACAGTTGGTAGGCAAGAAATGCAGACAGGGAAATCCACCAATCACTGCCCTTAAATTACCCCACATGAAAACTAAGGACAGTACCAGGTCACCAGACTCATCACCAAAGACAAACAGAGCTCAGCCATCAGGACAGCACAATTTATGTCAGAATACTTTTCTGCTAACCCAAGGACTGGAGGAATAAACATTAATATAGCCATGAGGAAGAGACCTTCTGAATTCAGAAAAAAATTCTGAAAGGATTTTTTCTAAAGCATTTTGATGAGTTGCAATAGTATGTAATGAAGAATAATTAAATATGTGTTTATTTCCAGAAAGTTATGAAAACTTTTATTGAAGCCTTGAAATCAATACATGATGTGTGTGTGTGTCTGTGTTTGTGTGCATTAGTGTCATATTTCTTGGCATCGTTCCTGGCTTTCACACATAGTAAACCTGATCTCCAGGCTTCTATTCTGCACAAAGAACCCACATAAATCAATAAGAGTAGCCATTGTATAAGTTATCTCTCAACACATTGTGGAAAATGTTCTTACATATGCACTGCACTCAGAATAAGAATGCCTGAATAAGGTTTTGTTAGAGCAAACTTAGCTATGACATCCATTGTCAGAAAGTAATCAGTGTTCATGTACAATAAGAATACATTTACAAAGCAAACACCAATAAAAATTCCAGGGATGGTTAGGGGACATGCTACTCAGTTTGTGTCTTACTTGTTGACTTCTCGTTGGCATCTGGTTGGCCATTGCAGGGGCGGAATGACTTGGTTCACCAGATGGGCTTCATCAGATAGATCTATACAATAGGCTTCTTCCTATATTTTTAACCCTCCCCTCCCATACATATACTTTACCATTTGGAGAGAGTATACCCTCCACTGAGTTTGGACGGAAATCTCTACTGAACTCAGAAAGAGCCATTTTCGTAGAAGTGAAATCCCTTCTCCCAGCTGCCTATTGCTTGGATGCTGTTTGCTTTTTCAAACACTAGCAACTGATATTTATATTAATGTCCTATCTTGTTTGGTTTTATTTGTATATGTATTAGTTTCTATGCATGTTTAGAATTAGTAATTCACATACCTAAAGTCTCCCAGCTATGAGGTATTATTTTTTTTTCATTTTTTTTTCAGACATACTTTTTTAACACCCACTATTTTCTAAAGCTTTTGGAATGCATCAATAATCTTAGAAAGAATTATTAGAGGCATAGCAAAAGGAGGTCTGAAAACACCCCCAAAATGGGTCATTAACAGCAGTAATACAAAAAATGAGAGGCAGTGGTAGAAATAGTTTACAGTTCCTTTATTAAATCCTCTTATCCAGTTGCGTTCATTTTCAGCACTTCTCTCCAAGATGTCTTTGAACAGCCAGCCCTTTCTGCATGAGCCTGCAAGTTCATCTCTCTTACCTTTGCATCCATTCTTTCCAAATTATAGTCTTAAACTATCATTGCAGTAGGTGATGATTACTATAATTTTTAATTTCTGACTAGTAGTTTGGCCCAAAAGCAGTTCCTGTGATACACTCACAAACTGTATGCCCAAACTTGTTAATGTCTTGCAAAATTACTTCTCTTAGGCTGGTTTCTAGAAATTGACTATTCTGAAATCAAACCATTTACTTATAGCAACATGAGGTTTGCCTGTATAATCCAAAGTGATGTTTCTGAAGGAGTCCTTGCCATACACTTCATAGACACTGCATAAGAAACAGACCAATACTGTGTTGATGAATCCATTCCCTTTAATAGCAATAGCAGGCACAGAAGGACATATGTGAGAGCCAGTTTGGTATAGTGGTTAAGGCACCGGGCTAGAAACCGGGATATGGTGAGTTCTAGTCTCGCCTTAGGCACAAAGCCAGCTGGGTGACCTTGGGCCAGTCACTCTCTCTCAGGCCCAGGAAGGAGGCAATGCAAACCTCCTTTGCCTCTTGGCAAAAACTTTGCCAAGAAAACTGCAGGGACTAGTCCAGGCTGTCACCTGGACACACATACAAGGACATACATATGCATTTTCCTTGTTCTTATTCATTTTAATTAACAAGAGTTAATAACAGATAGGACAGAACTTTGTTGCTTACATATTCTTCTCTCTTTCAATATCACCTACCCTATTTCTCCAATTCAAAATGAATTTAAAACAGATTATTCTGACAGAAAGAAAATATTCACTTTTTTGAGAGTAGTGAAAGACTGGAAGGCATGAGCCCAAATATCTTTGATTTTAACTCTACTGGTTTCTCAACTTAGTGTTTTAGGGCTGGCCCAAGACATCTTGCTATTTGAGGCAAAGGACAAAATGCTCCAACAATTCCACATACAGAAGCCAGTTGGACCAAATCTATTTCAGCATCCTTTCCTGTACCTGAGGGCTGCAGTCTAGCCCAGGGTACTTAGTGCCAACAAACAGCCTCCTCCAACACCTGGTCACATCTGGGCAGTGTGACCCAGTAGCCGAGTCCGCCCTCCAGATTGTATGTTCCCATTCATATTAATGAGAGTCCTGGGATTCTCTTCATTTTGATTCACTAGAGATTCTTGTATCAATCTCTGAAAAGGCATCAGTGTTGCAGCTCTCAGACTCATGAGCTGGTCCTCATGATGTTTTGAGTTTCATACCCCTTTCTAACAGATACAAGTAAGTCCTCAGCTGAATGTAGGCGGGCATGTTGCAAGGAAAGAAAGTTAGGTAAATTAATTGGCCTTGGAAAGGGCACAGCCACAAAAACAGCTCTTGTGATTCAAAGTCGTCTATGTGGGCTGTGACCACTCTCGTTCTTTTGAATGTTGCGCTGCAAAAGGCAGATGAGAGAGTACATTGGAATGTTGTTCTGTGAGAGGAGAAAAGGTCCCTGTGCTCTAAAAACCTCACCCCCGGTTGCTTGTTTTCTATCTGGGTGACATTAGAGTCCGGCAAGAATGGGAGATGGAGGACAGTAATTAGTATGTGAATATCCTGTATCCAAATTAGGCAAGGTAGATGATACGTTGGCAGGTCTTACATTGCTGGCAGAGGTTCTGATCTTCTTCTGCTGTAAGTATGGGACAGGTAGAAGGAGAACAGGGCAGCTTCCTGGATATTGTATTCTTCGATTAGGTGAAAACAAAAGATCCCTGCCTCTAATCTAATTCAGAGTCTTAATTTTTACAACGGAGCTCAAAAACGAGTTCCTAGTTGAACCTGGGTATTTGTATCATTTTCTATCACGATCACTGATTAAAATATCTTCCTCCTTCCCCCCCTTTTTTTTTGGTCTAATCCGTTTTACGCCAGTGGGCACCACCATAACTGCGCTACAACTGATGAAAGCTGCATCTGTTGAATTCCTGCCTTTTCTTCCAGCAACAAAACATGGCCACATTGACACCACAGGACAAATCCCGCGCCGTCCACGCCCCCCATCCCTCCCTCCCACCTCAGGAAACTACGGAGAGGAGGGACCAGCGCAGCGTGAAGTCCTCTGGCCCTCTGCTGGTGCTAGCGGGGGGGGC